AGTCCCATTTTACCAACCTGTTGTCCCTACAAAATAGGAAATTTCTTCTTATGGTGTAAGTTACACCCACTGAAATTCACTTTTCTGTTTGTAGTACTATTAATGGTAGAGGAGCCCAGTTCTTTTTCAGTTCTGACCATCCCAGGTCTGAAGGAAGATTGCTTTCCTTTCTTATCTAATCTTCACCAACCTTTGGCACTAAGTGATTTTAAAATATGATTTCAGCTCAGCTGTTCTCCTTTATTAGAACCTGCTCGAATTTCATTTCTAATGCTCTCAGCGCCTCCAGTTGCCCTGGCTCATTCTTAGGTGTTTCCTTTCTTGACCTTTTATTTGCAAACTTCTATTAGTTCGACTCCATCAACAGGATGATTAAAATTTTTGGATGGAAATATATTTTAATGGAATGTTTACTACTCTTTTAAAAATAATAGCGTGTCCTTTATGGTTTTCCAGAATTCTTTTTATATTCAGATGCCCGTAATCACTGTAACAAGGTGGGTGATGATGTATGAATGAGCTCTTAAATTTACAAAATGTGTTCTATTTCCTTCCATATTCCAACATGATCTTGGATCTGCAGGGAAGGGTCTCCCAGCCCATTATAGCAGAATTCTGCCACTTGCCTCTTATATAAAATGACAAGTTCCCGTTGTAAGTATATCATATAAATTGTAAAGGGAATGAATCCTAATCCGTTGGCTGTATGTCATTTCCTCCAGTGTTGCATAGATGAAACGTTAGTCACACAAAGCCAAGAAACATCAAGATGGTCAGAGTTATTCATGAAGACAAATATTAAAAAAATAGGAGAGGCTGTGGTAGTTTGCTGTTGCCTGAGTTTACTGAGAAGAGTAAGATGCTGACCCTCCTCTCACCCATTGAGTTAACTGAATGCAAATTTTGCACTTTGAGCTCAGTTTTCAGCAATTGAAGTACACTGGAATCAAAGGAGGAAAACAGAAGTAAGAGAGAGAAACTGGTGTGGGAAAACTGAATATTAACCAGGTCTGTTTCTGTCAAACTGGAGCAATTAGAGAGTAGCTACATTGCCATTTGCAAATAAAATGAAACCACCAGGATATATTCCAAGAGTTTTAAATCTCAGTACCTAAACATTGTCCATTTTTTGCTTTCAAATTATATTGGTTAAATGGCTAAGATTTGATTGAAACTGTGTCACAATTTCCAAAAGGGATCAATGATCCTGCTGTGTTGTCCCTCACCTGCCTGGCAACTCAAAGTCTGGGATTTCTGAAGAAATTACTCTTCTTTGCTCTTTACTCTATGTCAGTGGTTCTCAGCCTGTGGGTCCCCAAATGTTTTGGCCTCCAACTCCCAGAAATCCTAACAGCTGGAAAAAAACACATGGGATACCCACATGAAACCAGGACCAAAAATGGAAATCAATAAAGTCTGCCCTCCACAACCACAGATTCTGTATGCACAGATTCAACCCCCAATGGCTTGAATATAGGGGTTTTTTTTGTAAAAAAAAAAACAACAAAACCCCACAACAAAACAACCCTCCAAGGCTAAACCTTGATTTTGCCATTTTTTAAATGGGACACAGTACTACTACACCATTGGAACTTCAGCATCCACAGATTTGGGAATCCACAAGGAGACCTAGAACCAAACCTCAGTGGCTACCAAAGTCGTATATTTGAAAATGACATATTTGAGAAAAAGAATATAATCTGTATCTGAATTATGAATCTTTTGTTCATTTGAGTTACGGATCATAAGTGGAAATGAGCAAAAGGCAGATGAGTGATGGAAGATCTCTAGAAGCAAAGATGATCAATTAGATAAGTATGATAAGAAGGAAGCTTTGGAAAAACAGAGCAGGAGGGCAGCAAATGAAGCTGGGAGCCAATGGGTTATCTTTTGGTTCATGCAGTAAAAAGAAGCATGCGGCAACACATTTTGCTGAGTAATTGAAGGTGGCCCTTGAGATGTTTCTGGGCTGCAACTTTCATGAGCATTAGCCAGAAGAACCAATTATGAGAGAACATAGGAGCTGCATTTCACCATCTGGACACAGAGACATTTACCATTTCTGGTATAGCCACAGTTTCTCTGTGGATACTGCTGTTGGAGATCCCCACAGAACTAAAACAGGGACTAGGAGTCAACAGCTCCTTATCTGGATAAATTCCCAAATATTCAAATGCATGGATTTGAATATTCAAATATCCAAATATTCAACTGCACCACCATCACAGTTTGTTCTATCTTGTGTCTTTTGCAGAACTTTCTACATTCTGTCACGTAAATACCAACCTTCAAATGGGTCCCAGGTGAAGCACTTCAGCACTGCAGAGTTTTGAATACAATACAGGATAGCTATGAAAGATGCAATCTATGTTGTCATGGATGCCAAGGTCTTTACCAGATTTCCTGGCTTATTCAGTGTTAGATGATGTTCTCTCTAGACTAAGTCAAATGACATCATTTAGACAGAACTGCATTCACTGAGACATCCTCCCCCTCCTCTTATTTAAGCAGCTAAATAAGGAGGCTTCGTAGATAGATTTGTGCCATCAGCTCGTCTCGGCTTTTAAAGAATACACCAGAGACATTTTTTTCATGGATACAGAGAAAAGAGCCTTCTAAACAGTTGTATTGCCACCCAGGAAAAAGAGTCAGTTATTATTTCATTATTCTTCTGTGGACAAAGGCGACCAGGAAACACTTGTTGACCCTGAGCAGCAAAGGAGGAAGAGCCACTAAAGCCTCACCACAAGCAGCTAATATGGAGAACATCCTCTTCTGGCTCACATTCTGTTCCTTTGATGTCATCAATATCCTAATTTGCAGGTCTTTTTTCCAACTGTTGCCGTGATCTGAACAACAGTCCTATTCCCACTGTTTACTGATTCTACCTCCTGTTGTCTACTGAACCAAAATTGGTGATCACAGCAAGATCTAAACCCAAAATGGTTTTGGATCGCAGTGGTTGCCATATTACATTTTTGGCAAGTTCAAAATATGACCAATAGTCTATGAAGTTAAATAAGTGCTAGAGAATGGAAAAGTAGCAGGTAAACCAGGCATTTATTTCCTAACTAAAAGAAATAATTGAAATCTACTGTATTTGTGAGCTATATGCAGTGTAATCCTATTTAAGTATTCCCACCCCCCATTCCCTCCCAAATGAGTCCTATTGAGATCAAAGCTACTTATTTCCAGGTCGGAATGTACAGGACTAAAGCCTTGAATTGCAGTTTTAGAGTTTCTCTCTCCAATAAACCAATGTATTGGCAATGCAATTCACATATTTCCAATCTTCTAAACAATTACGCAATGTAATGGCCACCAGATGTACAACAAAAAGAATGAATGGATAATTTAAAACAAAGATGCATAACCAAAACAAAGATGTTCTGGTGATATACATTACCGGAGGCATGTACTGCTGAAACATCTCATGCCTTTGGTAGTTTGTTTTAATTTACCTATTCAAAATTTTGTTGGTCATTTGCTGATCATGAAATGGTGCAATTATTCTTTCCGCCACTTTAGTTTGACCTCTGAATTTGCTTAAATTTCATCATGAGGATAAGCTGGCTTCTTAATAGCACTCAAATGCCTACCATAGAATTTGTATTTGGTTTTGATTAAACCTTAGCTGCATACTCAGGGAACTGTAACACATCCAACATTTGACATTATTTGCCAGTGGATACAACCAGTCCCATCATGAGAGACAGAGAGATTGGAGGAGGAACTCACTCTTAATTGAAGCTGCCAAGGGGGAAAATGTTTCAGACACATTGAATGTGTTCAAACTAAAAAAAAGGAGAAAAATCCCTACCCAAGTGGAAAAAGAGTACAAAAATATCAACAGGCCTATACTATGTTGCCACTTCTCTGGCTATCTGCAATTATATTTTCCCAATGTGCCCAAAACGGGCACTGTATTTATGCCCACTATCATAGCTTATTTCTTTCCCAGAAACTCACCAATACTACACCAAAAACCTATATATTTTAAAGTATCCCTAGATTTGTTGAGGTTGCCACCATGCCAAACTACAGTTGGTTAAAAGACCCTGAGTTTGCTTTCTATTTTAAGAAAAGCAAAAGAACAAACAAACAAACAAAAAACAAACAAAACACCCCCCCCCCAAAAAAAACAAAAAATACTTTCAGCCTTTTTATTGTGGACTTGTTTTTCTCTTGGCAATAAGGGCTTTCTGCATTCTTTTTAAAATGGAATGCCTAACTAACTTCTGCTTTTCAGTTTTGTTTTAAATTGCAACCAAAATTAGCAAAGGATATTGTTCTTGTAAGAACTGAGCTGTGTAAGAAGGAGGTCCTGCATGTGACGGATAATTTCTTCCCCTTTTTTGCCCCCACCCCCCCACTCTATGTTTTCTAAGCTAAGAAAAATAAATAACATTCTAATAACGTGTCGAGTTTGGCAACTATGAAAGCAGTCCAGTGAGATGCCAAATGTCTTCTGACATACTTTTGAAAAGAATAATAATAAATAAATAAGCAAAGCTCGCCTTCTCGCCAAGTTTGATGTTTTGACAGGAACTTCCGGGGTTCTAAAGAGTCTGAATAAAATGGAAAAGCTCCCCCATCCCACCTGCAAGGCTACGTCAGACATGCCGTTTCCATGTCTGTCTGTTTGCTTTCTGGACCGGGCTGGGTGTAAATCATGGTTGCCCAAAACAGTTTTCCCCAGAAGAGTCCTGGCTTTAACCATAGGCCATGCAGAGCAATTGGGAGAGTTTTCTCTCCTTGGATGGGGTGGCACTGTGGAAGGAGAAAAATCCTCACAAACCATCAGTGTTAGTGTTATCCCTGCCAGTGATATTTAGAGAATGTGGCTATGTGTGCATGTATATACAAACCCACACCGCTATTTCAGTTCAGCTGCCGAAGGCCAACCCTGTTATTTTCCACTAAGAGTTCACAGCGCTGCCCCCACCAGACTGATGTTTCCAAAGCAGCTTCAGAAGCCAGGAAATCTGAAGGGATGAAGGTTTTCTTTTCCATAAGGTTTCCTTGCAGGGCTGCTGCTGGAATAGAGGAACTGCTGCATCTGAAGATTGTTCTTTGCAGGTCGCAGATTAGTCTCGAGTTCGGTTTCTCCTCCTCAAGAAGAAGAAGCTGCTTTTTTGGGGAGGTCCCAACAACACTGGCACTTGGCTTTTGTGGGTGATTTTAATCTGGAAACAAAATAATGGAAACAAGTAGTCATGGAAACTTAGGATTGCTGACCACACTTATTCATCAGGCATAGGATAAGTGTGGCCCGATGGTACACACAGCCCTTGGGACCTCACTTTACTACAATTACAGACCCATAGGAAACCCTCAAAATACTCAGACACACCCCTTGCTTTTTCATTCTTTTGGCCAAAAAAATGACCCCCAAACCAGCACAAAGATATGATAGTTTAGGCCAGTGGTTCTCAACCTGTGGGTCCCCAGATGTTTTGGCCTTCAACTCCCAGAAATCCTAACAGCTGGTAAACTGGCTGAGATTTCTGGGAGTTGTAGGCCAAAACACCTGGGAACCCACAGGTTGAGAACCACTGGTTTAGGCCTTTTGCTCCACATTGCCTGCCCCTGTATCAGCTTATTAGATCCGGTATGGTGGAGATGGTTTTAACAATTGATTTTAAAGTGGATATAACTGATTTTAATGTTTGTGTATATTTATAATTTGTTTTATGTTCTGGCATTGAATGTTTGCCATATATATGTTGTGCTCCACCCTGAGTCCCCTTTGGGGTGAGTAGGGCAGAATATAAATGCTTTAAATAAATAATAAATAATGATAAATGCAGAACTGAATGTGCCATGACATTCTAACCATTTGTGGATAAGCACTATGGGGGCCACAGAAATGGGGAATGGATACTTTCCCTCTTGCTACTGTCCATCCCTTTTTTAGTCCAAGCCCTTGCGCATGGCAGTCTCCGTAATGCAGGAGGCAGTTACAGCATCCCAGATAGAGGGGCTATTTTAATTAAGTTTGCTCCAATTATTTCTGAAGGAATCAATTTCCAGCTAGGTAATTTCCTACCATGTATGCAGAAAAACTTGACATTTTAGACCAGACACGTGTGGGGAAAGGGGCTTTTTGTTATTTTGGTGTTGTACTTTGATGGGTGTGTATATACTCTGTCTGCCTTCCACTAGTGAGAGAGGAAATTTCCTTTTCCAGTCTCTGATGCAGAGAAGAAAAACCCCAATAGTCATTCCAACCTCTCCGACCTCTTGCTTCAGGGAAAGAAAGGGAGAACAGGTCTGTGTAGTTTTCTGTGGAGGCTGCTTCACAGTAAAACCCTGTAGGCCTGAGAAGCCGCAGAGATAGTCCAGTCTTTAAGCCCTATGGGTGGTTGTGGAGGCAGTAGATGATCAGAACAACACCCCCACTCCTTCCCAGGAAGTCCCATCTAGTATTTCTTGTCTAACTAGCACTGTCACTAGGTTAGGACCTCAAAATAACTGCGTGGGTGGTATCTGACATTGTTAAGAAATAGAAAGTCAATCCTTGTATGTCCTTAATCAGAACTCCAGGGGACTTTTTAAAGCCCTAAATTATCATCAAGGTTCAGTTACTGTTTGCATCCAACACTATTTTGTCAGAATATATTATTCATCAGCTCCTGTAGCTACTGACAGTACTTGATGCTCTGCTCCCTCATGGAAAATGTGCGTAATGATGTAATCCCATCCTCCTTTGATCTTTAGATGGTGGACACTGATGTAGATACATTCAAGATACAATAACTAACTGTCTCTAATAATTTCCCTGTTACCATTGTGTTGTACAGCAGTTGTAGATCTCTTGCTTTAACATTTCTTTGATTTTTCATTAGGAATACAAATATGGTTGTCTTTGCCCTGAAATAGTTTGAAGATACGACATCAAAGAGATAGGAGTAACATCTCTCTTCTCCTTCCCCCTCCCTCCTTCTCTTAAAAATGTAAGGAGGTTGTTTACTAGAGTGCCTTAGCTGTTTTGCTTCCTGGATTCTATGTGAATAGATGCATTCACTGCTGTCAAAAAACACTGCCTTTCCCCTATGGAGGTCTGGGTCCAACAAGTAACTCTGTTTCTTAAGGTGGACCTCCCAGTACTAATAGGTGAACATCAGGAACATTTGATTTCCTCCAGAGGTTCAATTACTTACTGTGCAAGGCGGCTGCATCCAGGGCTCACCATCCACCTGCATGGGCAGAAGCTTGGATGTCCTGGTCCACACAAACAAAACACTGTAAATGTTGTGCCAATGAAGTAGGCAGGACAGAGTGCAACTGTGTGCTGACACTAACAGAATTCAGAGCAAAAGCGAAATATTCAAGGGAGTCTAGTCCTACACTGTTTGGTCCCATCTACACTTCCATATAATAATGTTTCAAACTGCATTTTATGGTCAGTGTAGACTTATATAATGCAGTTAAACTGTAATATATGAGTCTACACTGACCATATAATTCAATTTCATTATGTGGCAGTATAGATGGGGCTTTAGTGAAAGGTGGATATGATTTTCTGGAATTTACAAGGGAAAAGCAAATTATCAGCAAGTCTAGTTAATTTGCATGTATCAGACTCTTTCCAACATAATTTGCTGGATGTATGTACAAACGTGTACATCTATAATTAGTAGTTATTAAACTTTTATATAGAATACTACCAATCTGGAACAATTTTTTTTAAAATCTCATCTGAAACATGACACTTAATTTCTGACCCATTCCGCCTTGAGTTGCCTTTGGACTTGAGGAAGACGGGATAGAAATATGATAAATAAATATATATATTTTGCTTAAATCTTACTTTTTGAGACTACAACTCCATATCCCTACCCACTGCTCCAGCCAGCATAGCCACTACACAAAAGTAACAATTTCAAGCTCTGTGTCATTTTCAAGTGCAACACTTCAATGGTGAGGGTGGAAATGTTTATAATAACAGTTATAACAAGAACTTGTCCTGCAAAAGAGGTTGAAGAACAATGAGAAATGAGCATTTTGATTGTCATAGAATCATAGAATCAAAGAGTTGGAAGAGACCTCATGGGCCATCCAGTCCAACCCCCTGCCAAGAAGCAGGATAATCGTAGGAGTCAAGTGGCCTTCTGGGGGCTTTTGGACTACATCTGTTGGACAGGTAGTTTTTCTGCCTATCTTTTATGCTACACAAGCCCACATACTTACTCACAATCACTAAACCTGGGCAAGACCTAATGGGATGAAAACACACACTATAGAATGGTCATGGACCTGACCCATCAACTACCATCCCAAGCAAGCCCTTTTCGTTTCTGTATTTTTTCCTAACCTATAATGTACATTTTAGAAACAGTTTTGATCAAACTGGACTGGACTGTTGATGAATACCAGTAGAGTATTTCTCTTTGCTTATGCCAAACCCAAGGATCATGATGGTGGTGGTGCACCCGACTCTTGACCAGAAGGGGCAACAGCTGCTGCGATTAATAGTTGTCATCAGAGAAATGAGAATATTGGGAATTGCACTACAGCAGTACCTCAGAGGGCTCCAGCCTTCATATTCACATTTAGGACAACTTTTGTGCAAAACCAACTTTGTTTGAGGATGGGAGAATTCAGAGGTGGCCCTAGGTAATTTTCAACAGTAAGCAAACAGTATTTTGGTGCCCCCCCCCAAAAAAAACCAATCACTGATATATATATTTTCTGTTCATTGTGGTAGTTCTGTGTGCCATATTTGGTTCAATTCCATCATTGGTGGAGTTCAGAATGCTCTTTGATTGTAGGTGAACTATACATCCCAGTAACTACAACTCACATATGTCAAGGTCTATTTCCCCCCAAAAGCACCTCAAGAGCGCCCCTGGGCAAAATCAACTATACTGCAAATGCTTACTTTGCGTAATGGGTTGAGCTGCCCCTGGGAGAATTACTGTTTTGGTCCATTTTGCACAACACTTAATGTTATTTTTTTATTACTGTTCCATTACCTGGGTGGAGGACAAAAGGGATACTAGTCAGAGAAGGATAGTCCATTTTACAGGGGGTGGGGGGTGGGGGTTGTTAAGGAGGAAAACAATTGCCCCTGTTTTTGCTGGTTATTCCCCTCACCTTCTCATGTCATTATGAGGGTTGTTTCCACAACAGTCACACAGGTGGGGGGAATAACAGGAAAACAGGAGGAAATAGTTTTACTCCTTCATCCCCAATCCCCCTGTAAAATAGACTAGTCTTCTTTGTCTGGCGCCCCCTTTTGGCCTCTGCCCAAATAATGGAACAGTACCTTTTTAAAAAGAAATATAGATGTTACCACTCTAATGTTTGCTTCCTTCAGATCGTAAGTGAGATCACCAACCATGAATACATTTCCTAGTTTTTCTAATAGCTTCTTGGGTCTGTGCTGCTATACAATACAAAACTCAGACAAAATATATTTCTATATTTTAACAGGATGTACGTAAGTAATCACAGTGAGAGTCTCTGTGGGGTAGTTGTATGAGTCCTGGATTATGATCCCAAAAGCCCAGAATTTGATTCCCTGCTCATTAATGGCAACCCACTGGGCAAGCCTGGGAAAGTTACATTTCCTCAGCTTCAGAATCAGCTTCAGACTCAGATCAAATCATACAGAAATAAGCACACCCAATAAGAAGAGAGAGACTCATATGACAAAAGGTACCTGATGGTGACAGAGGAACACTGAGCCAACCTCTTGCCAGCACTCTTCAACCCAGTATAGATTTGCCCCATCTCCATAGCTCCTTCGAGGCCCACGACTTCTAGGAGTTGATCACTGAGATCTAATGAGAGAAAAGCAAGTGTGGTAGAACAACAATGTCAAATAGACAAATTACTTTATGTAGGCATAACGTAGGTGGGAAAAATAATCAAAGCAGAGGCACATGATAGTGGACATAGTCTTTTGAAGGCAACATCTGGAGCAGCTATTTCTCAACATTACCTATTTTATGAATATGAATATGACATCTCATATTTATTAACTGCCATTATCATTGAAAAGCAATCCCAATCAGCTGGAAGGTAAAGGATTTCTGAAGAAGGCTGCCATTCAAAGAAGCAAGTATTGGTTTTAAGACATGCTCGAAAGGCAACCACATCAAAGTGGCTGAGTCTAGTCAATGCATGGATGAGAGATTGTTCAGGTTGCTGAAAAAAATCTGACAATATTTCTAGGAAAATTATGGGAGCCATTTCCTTGGGGAAAGATCTTGGCATCTGACATATATTAACAGGAGCAGCAATGCTTACATAAAAAAAGGAGATAAATCTGCTTCACAAAGACAATGAGTGCATCTGCACTGTAGAAAGAATGGAGTTTGACATCACCTCAACTGCTATGGCTCAATGCTATGAAATCCTGGGATTTCTGGTATGGGGAGGCACCAGTACTTTTTGGCAGAGAAGGCTAAGGACATTATAAAACTACAGTTCCCATGTAATATTGATCCATGGCAGTTAAAGTGGTGTTAAACTGCATTACTTCTATACTGACTAGCAAACAGGAAGATATAAAGGTGAAAGCAGAGGAAACTGAAAGCATTTGCTTTAATCTTTTCCAACTACAGTAGAGTCTTCCTTATCCAACCTTCACTCATCCAACATTCTGTATTATCCAACGCAGTCTGCCTCCCACCCGGATCCACAGCTGTTTCAATACATTGCATGTTTTGGTGCTAAATTAGTAAATACAGTAATTACGACATAACTTTATGGTTTATTGAACTGCTTTTTCTATCGTTTTGTTATAAAACATGAAGTTTTGATGCTTAATTTGTTAAATCATAATGTAATTTGATGTTTAATAGGCTTTTCCTTAATCCCTCCTTATTATCCAACATTTCCACTTATCCAACATTCTGCTGGGCCATTTATGGTGGATAAGCGAGACTCCACTATATTTGTGCCCAGACTGTATTGCAGCCTTAAAGCTTAGTTCAATTTCTCTTCTGTGTTGCACCAAACCAGCAATCCCTCAAAGCTTAGTCTGGCTCAGAAGGCTTTGAGAAATCAGTATTGATGGCCTCATATTATCCCTTCATTTATTTGCTTTGGAGAATCTATGAGACAAATCTGTTCCACCTCTGATACATGGGGACACCTCTAAATGCTGGAGTCAGTATGTTTGTCTCCTTTGTGGCTCTACCTCTTCCTCTTCTATAAGGATTAAAGGAACATAATTAGCTTATAGATCAGAGCAGCTTGCAACTCAGCCTCAAAACCTTGTCAATACAATGGATTACCTTATTGTTGGATAACAGAACAAGCTAACAGAAGATCAGGCTGATAGATGATCACATACAGTGGGACCTTAGTATCCACTGCTGTTTGGATTCAGCTCTCACCCCCACCCCACTCCCTGGATACCAAAATCTATGGATGTTCGAGTCCCATTACACACAATGATGTCCATTATATAGGATGACAAAATCAAAGTTTTGCTTTTTGGAATTATTTTGAATATTTTCAAATCATGGATGGTGGAATCCACAGATGCAGAATCCATGGATATGGTCGACTAAAAAGTAGAATCTTTAGATGTCTCAAGACTAGATCAAATTAATACCCATCATCTGCATTGTGGAAGCAGCTGCTTCAAAATGCAGCCACTGACAGATTGAGACACCTGGCATGCAAACCAAGTCCTTAGGTTGCTCGTAGCTAGTTGTTAAGGCACTGACAAGGAGCAAATGGGAAAAGTTCATATAATGTAACTATGAACCAATCATTTTAGCACAGGTTGGGAATTATGTGGCCAGTAGGCGTTGAAGTGCAACAACCGGCATCCCTCACTACAATAGGCAATAGAGAGGAATATTGGGAGTTGGAACTCTACATCTAGAAGGTCACATAAGTCTGATCCCTATTCTAGAAAACAAACAAACAAGTGGGTTTGAACTAATCTGGTGAAGTAAGTGGTTAGCGTTTTGGAAAGCCTCAACTTCAAGTCTTCATTGTGGGGCATGTAACTCATAGCATGAGCTTAGACTATACATGCTTTCTCAGTCTTCATGAGTTGGTGTGAGGATAAACTAGGGTGTGTATGTTGTCTATTTTATTTTGAACTAATTGAAAGAATGGAAGGGTAGAAATAAAACCAATGTACTTTCCATCAATTCACAAATGAAACCTTAGATTATGGTCAAATTGGTAAAAGTTATTAATGAGGAAAAATGTACGAACTAAGTGAGGCTGCAGCAGTTTGCTTTGGCTTGAGTCAATAGAGAAAGACAAGATTATCCCTCCCTCCCATTGTCACAAGTTCATTGAGTTCTAACCTTGGCAGCAATTGAAGTGAGCTTAGTACAAAGGGGGAAGTGAGAGGAGTGGAGAGAAAGTAGGCCATTTTAAAAGTAGTGAAAAAGTGGGATGCCAAAGGATTACCTAGTACTGCCCATGCCAAACAAAGGGTGTGGAGGGTATGAGCTAATGAAAATAAATTAGTAAGCTTTTGTAGAAGTCTGGCTGTGTTGAAGACAGCTTGTAGGCCTTCTGCGGTCAGCCTCTAACTTTAAAGCTGCACCTCAAACATCTTTCCCCCAAAACTCAGGAAACACTTGGAAGAAGAGGTTTGGAAATGTATGACCCAGTGTTCCAAATGGAGAAGTTTGCCTGAAGGCTTGTTTTGAGGATTATCCTGTAAATACCAGGACACCTTGCAGCTTCTTTGATTTTCCTTCCCTCCTCTCCATTCAGAAAGTCTCTTGCATTAGTCACAATGGAATACTGGGGGAGGGGGGGGGAGTGAGTGAGAGTGAGTGCGCTGTTTCATCACCACCACCTCTGCAACTTCCTTTCTCCTGCTTGTGTTGTAGCCTGGAGCTGTATTAAAAGCGTCCTCTTTATTAGTCATTCTGCCAGGCTTAAGTAACGCCTGCTATGCCAAGCTCCTTTTCAATGCTTTCCACTTTCTCCCACATAGACACAGATAGGCCCCTGTCTTGTATTCACACAGGCCCTCTCTCACCTAGAGAGCATTTCGGAGAATCTAGCAGCATGACTGATGGCTCTGATTGAGTTCTCTTCGTAGCAAAGAGTTGCCTTTCTAGCAGTCTTGTCCTGCTGTGCCAGCAGCATTAAAGTCCTTTAATATTTAATTAACTGACAAGATCCATTTTCTGGAAAGCCTCAGACTCATAGGAGACTGGGCTGGATAGAGGGGAATTAGAGATGCAACCTCTAATGAAAATCAGGTTAAAGATAAACCTGGAAACAAGTGCCCTCTCCAAAATCGCGATCTGAGGTGTGGCCGTGTGTTACTGAGATCATTACTTTGAAACCCATGCATTCATCCAAAAGATGTGAAAGGATGACTAATCACAATACAGAATATTAGTAGTGGAAAGCATCCAAGAGATATCACATTGTCACATGCAGTCCATCCATCCAACAATCAGAGCATTGATTAACCCGGATACATAATCCAGAGCATTATGTACCTGAAGGAGAGAACAAGCACACTGTCGAAAGGTTGCCTACACAGCAGACTAAAATGAGTCAAGACAAGTCACACACACTTCTTTCTACTGTATTACAGGGTTAGCTCAGGTATGGGCAAACTTTGGCCCTCCGGGTGTTTTGGACTTCAATTCCCACAATTCCTAAGGGCCAATAGGCTGTTAGGAATTGTGGGAGCTAAAGTCCAAAACACCTGGAAGACTGAAGTTTGCCCATGCCTGGGTTAGTTAGATCTGTTAACTATGGTCTTTGAGTGCTGTGTCACTAGGTATGTATAGCTCTGTACATCACTTGCAGCTTAGTTTTGAAACCTAATTGGAGCACTTGAACTACTTTCCAAATTTTGAGAAACATCAGTTTTTCTTTTTCCCTACGGATTTATTTCCCAGACTGGATGCAGATCAAAACTTGGAAAAGCTTCTTTTTAGGACTACTACCCTATCCTCCATCCAGTGTGACCAGTGTTACATTTGCTGGGGGTGGAGGTGGGGAAGTGCTATTGGAATTATAGTCCAAACGTTTATACATGTCTAAGTTCTGCTCCATTTCATGGTGTGGCGATTTGAATGATCCACTGAGATTCAAATTCCCACTTGCCATTACCAGTAGGCTTAAGTAAAAGCAAACAGCAGCAGGATTTCTAGTTTTTGTGTAATTCAAATAACTTTTGATTTATTAATATTTTTTGCCATCTTGGACACATTCTGATATTTAATGGCTACAGATGTCCTGGTTTAAGTCTGTGAAATGTTGAGGGGAAAACTATTTTTTTTTCTATTGCTGTAGTGTTTTACCTACCATTTTGTAACCTCTTTTTGTCATGACCAGTTTCAAAAGGAAGTATTACAAAAGGCTACATTCTCTGTGACTTTCTCTTTTAAAAATGTTATTGCCCATGAGCAAAGGTAAGTTTGGCAAGAAAAAAAAACTGAAACTAGGTCATAGGAAATAAATTTCAAAATATCATTGTTATCTATATGAGAAAGGACTCAGAGAAACTCCATACTACAGAGATGTGTCTTAATAGGAGGAAGATTGGCAACTCCCTGAGAAGACAGCAAAGCTTGGAGAAGATCATGGTGATGGGGAAAATGGAAGGAAAAAGGAAGAGAGGTCAACCAAGGGCTAGATGGATGTATGTTCTCCTTGATCTTGAAGGAGAAGTGACTGGCTTGACCTTGAAGGAGCTGGGGGTGGTGATGGCCCACTGACAGGGAGCTCTGGTGTGCGCTGGTCCGTGAGGTCACAAAGAGTCAGAAGCGATTAAACAAATAAACAACAAAATGGTAACTTCCATTCTAAGGGAGTAAGTAGTGTTGCCAACATTTTTTATCCTTCCAGACAGGCTTCTTATCCCAGGATCTAATCCCAGGTTTTCTGGCAATGCGGATTTATATAATCTTGTTTAGGGGATTTATATAATCTAGTTTAGAGGAGAAAACCTGGGATCAGATCCTGGGATATAGGGCCTGTTTGGAAGTTCCTTTGTAAGTTCTCACTTGGTCATTCTATTCCCACCACAACACCAAACAGACTCACCTTGAACACAGAATTTGAGCTCCTTGGCATCTATAACTACTGAAGTCTGTAATTTCTCTGGCACTTTCTTGCTCATCCGGTTAAGGCTACGTTGCTTCTTGGTTTCTCCCCAGAGATTGGAACCTCCGTACATACTGGGGATGTTGAGCACAGCAATGCCTTCCAAAGAAGTGCTACTCAGATCCAGAACTGTTCCGTCACACTGTCAGGTATGGAGAGAGACAAAGAAAGAAAAGCATTCTGAGACACGCAGCATCTTTATTAATATACTATTTTGTTTTGTCTTTCTACTCAGAAAGCATCATCACGACTGATGCATCACAGCAAGAATGAATGTCTCTGATGCCATCAAGGATTACTGCCATGGATTAATGTTATGGAGTCCTGGGATTTGTGGATTTGTGAGGTTCCAATACTCTTTGACAGAGAAGGCTAAAAACATTGTGAAACTACAACTTCTATGATTCTAATGCATTCAGTCATGACAATTAAAGTGGTAGGAACCCCCAGTGGCGCAATAGGTTAAACTCTTGTGCTGACAGGACAGCGGACTAAAAGGTCAGCAGTTAGAATCTAGGGAGCGGGGTGAGCTCCCATCTGTCAGCTCCAGCTTCCTTGCAGACAGCTAATTCTCTCACACCAGAAGTTCCTTGCAATTTCTCAAGTCGCTCCTGACACACACGCAAAAGTTAAAGTGCCTTCATTCTACAATGCAAATGCATCCCATGCCTTACAAAGCATGTTTTATTCTGAAAGAATGGCTGCAATAATATCAACAAGAAGTACGCCACTTTCCCAAGACCAACTTGGTTGGGGATGATAGGAGCTGCAGTCTGAGAAATCTAAAGGATGTAAGTTAGGGGAATGTCACCTTGGATTGAACATCAGAATTCTCCCTAGACCTGTCTAGTCTCAGTTCAGCTTTGTTCTGTTTGTCTTCTCCATTCTGAGAAGCACTTTGCAAACAAAACCAAAGCCAGAAGTTGTATTTCTTGCTGCTTCTTGCTCAGAGGTCTGGCTTGCCAACAGATGTCAATTAAACCCTTTGGACAAGGAAAGCGGCTTTCATAATGATATATTTTTCTGCCTTCCAGAAGTGCTGTGTACTCATCCTCAGAGGAAAGAATGAAATGACTAAGACTGGCATCAAGAATAATTATAGTTGTAGTCCCAATACTCAGAAAGCAGTGAGTAACTGCTATAGATCCAGTTTCAAAATAACTCTTTCTCGTTGACCCAAAGTAACTGAAATTGTAACCTGAACACATATAAAGACAGCAACAAAATGAACATACACATAGGATAAGTTTTTTAAAATGACCTGTGGAATAAAAGCATGAGAATATGTCTAGCAACAATTCCTAAAAACGGCGTACCAAAAAGTACCTTGAAAAGTATGATTAAAGGGTTGCTTTTAAAAAATATAGTATTCTGCTTCTGAAGAACAAGTTTCTCAAAGAATGCAAATCAAATGGCACTTAAAACTGTGTGTGTGTGAAGGAAATAATATACAAATATTGGTTTCGAGCAGGCTTGTCCAACCAGTGGCCTATGGGCCACATGCAATCCAGGACCCATATAAATACAGCCCAAGATAAAACCATAAATTTACCTTAAACATTAAGGGGTTTTTTGGAGGAGGATTGTAACTCATGTGCAGTTCTTGAGTACAAACTTTGAAGATGACAATGGAATGGAATGTAATAATCAGAGTATGCTACATCTACAAATATCAGGGTATTATTTACAGGGTGGCATACAATTAGGATTATTATGCACATTTTTTTGATTATCTGTGATGGAGGATATCATGAAAATTATGCATGGATCTCTTTTTTTGTTTTGCTCATCAGCTATTGTTCATGTTCGCATATTTTATGTGTGGCCCAAGACAATTCTTCTTTTTATGTGGCCCTGGGATGCCAAAAGGCTGGATATTCCTTGTTTAGAGCAATACTTCTCAGACTATTTGATGTGAGGGAGCAGCAATGATTTTTGCCCAATTTGCCAGGAACCAGTACAATATTGTATCCACTGACTGCAGTTGCCCCTTTCTTTTCTGGAAACTTACCAGGGATTGGTGGCCAATGTCTCAAGAATTTTAGAAAAGTCCAGGGGCCACCACTTTGAGTACATTGTTCTGAAGCATTAACAAGGTAAATAAATCAAATGTGTATCTCAAAGGTATAAAAATAATCTAAAAATAACTGAACTGTTAAATCACAGAACGTAAGACAACTTTGGTGATATTGGAAAATGGCCCTGAAGACAGAACTAAGGTAAAGTAAAGGTTTCCCCTTGACATTAAATATAGTTGTGTCGGACTCTGAGGGGTGGTGCTCATCTCCATTTCTAAGCTGAAGAGCTGGTGTTGTCTGTAGACACCAGCATGACCTCATGGAGCGCCATTACCTTCCCGCCAAGGCGGTACCTATTAATCTACTCACATTTGCATGTTTTCGAACTGCTAGGTTGGCAGAAGCTGGGGCTAACAGCAGGAGCTCACTCCACTCCCCGGATTTGAACTACCAACCTTTTGGTCAGCAAGTTCAGCAGCTCAGTGGTTTAACCCGCTGCACCACCAGGGACTCGAGAAGACAGAACTAGTTACATATAAAAAGTAACTTCAAAAGTATGTAAAGGAGGGACTGCCATTATCCCTGTCCAGTGACCAATGAAACATGGACCTAAGATCTTGTTTCATTTTTGACAATGTAAAACACAGCGGTATAATTTTCTATCACTAGGGAAGCCAATTAAACATGGAAAGTGGTGAATGACAATTGAGAGCAGCAGCAGAAAAAAATGTTTTATATGTCATCTAGATGTTACCTTAATTGTTCCTGGATGTTCAATGCCCACCTCCTTCCAATTAATTTTTGGAGTTAGAGTTAGAGGAGAGAGAGCTGGCTCTCATTTTCACCAAATTATAGTTTCATGTTCCTTTGCAAGACACTGTGGCACTTAAAAGTGTTATATGTATCCGTTGTGCAGATGTATTCTTTCTCACACCTTCTCCAGAAAATCTCTCTTGGGGCACTTAATCCATGGGAAAGGATTCTTTAGTATTTCAGATGCTTCAGACTACAATTCCCATATTGCCTTAATGTTGGCCATGTGAGTTGTGGCTTCTGGGAGCTGATGTAGTGCAACATCTGGAAAGTCACATGTTCCTGCCCCAGTGGTGAGCGATGCTTCTGGGGAAAAGTGCCCTGCTATAGTTGCTGAGCCAATTTGTGATCTGCACAAGCAGAAATTTGCTGCAATGGCACTTGCAAAACTGGTCATTTCTAAAGAAGCATTGCAATATGTCAGCAGAAGACTTCATTTGGAGGAAAAATTATTCTGGCCTGAATACAAAGTAGATAAATAGCAAACAGGGCATGGATGCTGCTTCAGTCCAGAAGGAATGACAGTTGCCAACATGCAAAACTCTTTTCAGTTCTGTTGCTTTTTGGGGCACATCACAATTGAATCTGTGCTGGCTGGATAAGCCAAGGTTTGGCAGGCTGCAAAATGCAATACAGATGCCACATCTCCACACAGCCCAGGAATGAACATCCAATGGGCAGCGGTGAGTGTGTTTTTCTCTTTAACCCTGCTTTGTCTCTGTGCCAGTGTGGTACAATGGGCTCTTTGAGAAGGGGCAGCTGACGGGCTGTTGGGACTTGGCAGCGAGAGTGGAAGTAGACATTTGCAGCTGGGGAAAAAAAAACCAACGTTATTTCCAGGAGTCTATACCGTAACCGATGCCAATTTCCAAAACAAAACTGCCATTTCTCTGTGCTCGTCATGACAGATGCCTGGGGCTAGAGGGAGGGAAAACTGCAACTTTCAGGTCAAAATGCTTCCGATTAACACTTTGCAGCCCTGAAACTGCTATCTCTTGAACATATATATACAAAAAGGTTCAGCAGTGGGAAATGAGGACCATCAATTTCAACAAACATTCAAACAATGTATTGGGGTCATCTTCTTCTTTTCCATTTCATCTTGGGGGCACTACCAAGATGCCGGCCAATTCCATTTGCACTAAATGGCTGCCACAATACATCTTAAAGGAATACCGGCTCCAGCCATTTTTAATGTACCGTAACTGTGTTTTAAACTGTTTTGAGGTATTTCTTGTAATGTGTATTTATGTTTTAGTTAATTATGTCTTACTGACTATTCTGTTATATTTTTATCTCAATGCTTAATCCTTCATGGTAAATTCACTGTTATTATTGTGCTCTGTCATATATTTTGATATGTTTTTGTTATGTTTTGTATTCACTTAGGCACTGAATGTCTGCCTTCTTATGTGTAAACCACACTGAGTCCCCTTGGGGAAAGAGGGTGGTATAGAAATAAAGTATTATTATTTATTTTTACCACACAGTGCAGAATATGTGTTGGCAATACAGCAAGATATATAATGTTCTTCTGGGTAACTGATCATCATCTTTACTGCTGAATGTGTATTGCACAGCATTTCTTGGAGCCTGAGAAAATATATTTCTGGATTATGGCTTCCAAATTGCCCAGCCAACACTACCAGGGTAAAGCTGGTTGTAGTATTAAGGAATCTGTAGTCCAAACAAGGAACTTTTCCAAGATCTGGTCTTGTCTTGCTACTGCATTAATTCCAGGATCACCACCACCACCATCAATGTATACTGCAATATTTCAGAAGAATTCCAAGTGTACCAACACAGTAGCTTATGTGAAAGTAGCACCAAGTGAAGGAGAACACCTTTTAATCATCCTAGATGCACACAGTGTGATTATGACAACTGATGTAAAAGAATATTACTTTATATTAATTTCTATAACTAGATCTTTGAACTGAACTGAAAGCAGGTTCTGGAGATAAGTCCTTTTGAACCCATTTAGCATCATTTGTGAGCATCACAAATGATGCTAAATGTTTCTGGCAGAATGTACTGTTTGTGTATTTCACATCTGACTTCCAGAGGTATGGGATGACAAGCATGCTGGGAATGGTAGGAGTGGTGGTCCCACACCTCTGAAAAAAGATGAGTCTGAAAAGGCTGTTTTCTTGCACTGCAGAAAACAAAATCTTTAAAAGCAGCCCAGTATATTGAAAGGCAGCTTTGTATTTTGCAACTCTGGCTGTTTGGCTCAGACAGGACCTCAGAGAAGCAATCCAAAAGTAGAATCAAAGGTACCAGTTGTAAGGAAAAAGTATTGCACACACCTCATACCAACTGAAATCGGTAATTTCCATGATTTCCTTATATCTAAACTATTCCTGAAGATATGGCTTTATAGTGTCTGGCTTATCTCTTTGGGTACTATTTTATTTTCTCTTCACTCCAAAGAAACTAATTTTCGACTAGTGCCTCACACCGGGGGTGGGCGGTGGGGTGGGGGACTGAGTTTCATCCTGCCATTGCAGGGGGTTGGACTGTGCAGATCACAGGGCACTAATGTCCAAAACATGAATTAAAAGTCTTTCTTCCTACTAGCAGGCATTGGCCAAACACATTTTCTAAATAATTGGTCTCTTATCATTTCTCTAGTTGTTGTTTCATGAGTTTTGGCAAATGATAGAAACTAGATTCAGTGAATGTCAAAACTGATTAGTTGTTCTTAAAGAATTAGTAGAGTTTGGACTTTCAGATAGAAGGCAGCCAACTCTATGCATGAATATGAGGTTTGGTGTTTCAAGTATTAAATTATATATATTTGGGGGAAATTCCAGAAATTGGGTGGCACTCATTAGTAAGACTGTGAGAGCACAATGGAGAAAAGTCTGACATCTGTTGTCAAACCTGAGAGCCAAGTTGTTTGCTAAGTGACTGAGATTCCTGGAAGTTTCTTGTTATTAGTTGCTATAAGATGAAATCAACTTGATAATAAACAACAACCAACTTTTAAATTCCCAGCTGCCACGACTGTCCCTTCAGCCTCTCAGGGTTACCTATCTAAATTGGCTGTTGAAGACCTTGTGATGTTTTCTCTTGTTCATTCTTGAAGCTTGGTACCAACAGCTGGCAAAGTGGTAAAACTGTTCTTGCACTCAAATCATTGAATTTTTTAAAATTGGACTAAATAATCCTAAAACAGCCATTACATCTCAACAGCAGAAATTCCTATCTACGGAAAACCAGCTTATCGGGGAAAAAGACAGAGTAGAACATATTTTGTTTTTTTATATGCAGATGTTTCTAGCATGGAGAAGTGTTAAAGTTATGCCATTTCCCACTTGCAATTGGTGGTAGTACTGTCCCATTAACTTCACAGTTTTGCTCAGATCATAAGATTTGCTTAAGACCATTCAGAATGACCTTGGAGCCTACAAAATGCCATGAAATGAAATAGCAACATACATACAATATGTCCCAAGTTGGGGAGAAAACTATATAAAGAAGGTGAACCTCTCTAAGAGCAAGCAAAGGTGAAAAGGAACTAAGAATGTCATGATTCACAAACTGAATGCAATCTCAGCTGTTGTTGTATGGAAAAAAGGACATCTACCATTTTTGACTGCCTTTATTTTATAGACGGACTGGGAGTACAGAACGTAGGAGGTAATAGCAGTGTTCACATAAAGACCAAGCCAAACCAACATTGCCTCTCCCTAAATTTTAAGAACAGTGGGACAATGGAAAAAAATCTCTTGAGAAACAGGGAAATCTCTGTATCTCTGCTTTATAAACATCATGTAACTAAAGGAGTAGGATAATAGTTGCTAGAAGATTCAGATTGGCAAAATGGACAAAAACTAGGTAGAGAGTGCACTTCAGTTGATTCAGGATTATCTTCAGAAACAGTTCCATGAGTAAGAACTTAGGAAAGTTAAAATTATTGGCCCAAATCCTACATAATCAACTAACTTCTCCTGACCCAACCACTGCAAACCAGATGGAAACAGCATGAATCTGTGTTTGGCAGAATGAGCCTCCTTCTCCCCATGTAATCTGGTAAAATAGGTTAGGTCTAACTGTAACTCTTTCATATCCATAATAACTACTTGGACATTTTGACATTATTGTTCACCCCAATCTCCTTTACTGAGCATCCGCTTCATGGGGGAAAAAGGGGGTCCATTTTGATCATTGGAGCATGGTCAAATGATATTTCCATCAGTTTTGGAAAAGTTGGGCCAAAATAAGTTACTCATTTAACTGCAAGCTGTTACATTAACTGTAACTCCAAGAACCATGCTCAGTGGTAGACTCAGAGCTATGGTCCCAGAATATTTTTTCTAGGAACTGCCAATAGAATGGACCAACAAAGTCCCCTTACACACTTAAGCTAATTTGTGTGTCTCTATGGGCATTTTACTTTAACATTTTTTCACTTTGTATCCATCAGTTTTTCTCTTCCAAACCTTGTCTCTCTTTTAACAGCTGCAACAGATGCAGATATTAAACAGCAATACTTCCTCATCTGAACTGGAATTCCACTAAGCTCGGGACAAACAGATGTGCTTTCAAACATATTGCTTAGTTTATGTCCCTGAAGTCACTGTAACTAGTAATACTTCTGCCATTGGATTAGAGCTCTCTCATGATCATCCATTTTTAATTGAATCCCTCATTATACTTGCCTCATTTGCAAAATACCCAATAGCCAGGACATAGTCTCTAAGACCAATGCGCAAATTTTCTATTGTAATTTTAATGAACAACTCACGAATTGTTAGCCTCCCTGCTGATGGTGAATAAAGGGAAGTTCACGGAAAACACACAGTTCATGAGAGCTCAAATATATTTTAAAGAGCTTGAAAAATGATAATAAATTTGAGCAACGATTAGCAAGTCACTTGCACATCCTTCTCTCATTAAGTACTGTTTTTATACAGCCAAAGATGGCTTTGTGAAGCACAGAGCTTTTAGACACAAATACACATACGCACAACCGTACATGTGTGCGTCAGGCATTAAATTGCAGCTGTAAGGTGGAAAGAATAACTGACTTCAGAGATGACAAGCACTCAGATGCCAGTGCCGAAAAAACACACTCAAAGGATGTCCATCAAAAATGTGTTTAAACTTTTAAAAGCCTCACTCTGCATGGTTGCTTGTCCTTTCACAGACTCACTCGGCTGTCAATATCTGTATGCAGACTGAAGCTTTCTCCACTGTAAGCCGGCCAACCTCCCTTGCGTGCCCAGAGCATCTCATGATGTCATGAGGGACAAGGATGTCACTAAAAAGACTGGCAGCAGGAGCTTCCATCTCTTTGTGGAAAAATGAAAGCTTCTGTTTACACGCAAACAATGAAAAGCAACAGGCGACGGATTGTTCACTGGTGTATATATTTGAATGTGATTTAATCTGAAGACTTGCTCATATCTCTAATTGAGGGCCAGAGAAGCACGATCATGTGCCAGCTCTAATTAGCAATGACACAACAATTGTTTTCATGAAGAAGTGGAAGTCATAAACCCCAAGAGAAAAAGGAAGTGGCCTATGGCTGTGACCCATCAGGCAACGTTGGGTACGTTTTCTTCTGACTTGCTCCTTCAATGTGGCTTCTTCTAACACAGTGGTTCTCAACCCTTTTTTTGACCACAGACTACTTAAACAAGGACCACTTTGACCAGGGACCACTTGACCAGAGACCACTCACCAACATTAGTACCAAAAGGATTACGAATCAATTTTTGGTCAACTTTAGATTTGGTTTGGGGTGCTGATTCAGAAAATTGCATTAGATAGACCACGTCAGCTCTAGTTTCTGATACAAAACATATGCCATTCTAAGTGACAGGGAAGGAGTGGCAGGTGGTGCATAAGGAGCGGAAATAAAATAAAATAAAATAAAGAGGAAGGAGGCTTGCTGACCAGATTTTTGTCCTTGCAGTGCACTGGTGGTCTGCAGACCCCGGGTTAAGAACTGCTGATGTAACAAAACAGCTTGGAAGAGGGGGAGGGAGGAAAAATGCACTGTCACTTTCAATGTGTTTAGAAATTTTGTTTCTCAGAACTACAGCTTCAAGTTTCATGCTGGCCTGGAAGAGTTCTGGCTGTTAAAGACCTCAAAAGAAATTTTACCAAGTTCTAGTTCTTTCTACTCTTCCCTTATTCTTGCAGTCAGGAGCTCTTGACAGCTAGGAAAGTGTCTAGGATTTTTTCTTGAGGATTAGCATGAGTTCACTTTGAGTTGCACTCTTCTACATGGCATCAGGTATTAAAATCTGGCTACCATACCAGCTTTTGATTTCTCTTCTTGAAAGTAAACATGCTCCGTTTCTTAAGACATTCCTTAAGACATTCCTCACAGGGCTTGATGTCAACACCTTGTACCACCTTGGTTGCCCTACTTGGAACACCATTCAGCTAATCAATATCCTTTTTGAATGGTGGTCACCAGAAATACTCCATAGTCTTCCGGTTGAGGTTTGGTTAATGCAGAATAAAGTGGTACTATTACTTCCCTTTGATCAAAAGAATATCAAAGGAAACAGCAGCCTTTTAAAATATGTTTATTTTTCCCTCATCTATTTTTTCAAGAGATAGCTGTGTTTGAGATTAAAGCTTGTACTGTAATTGCACAATAACCAACTCCATTATGCATATTTTAGTTTTATATAGTACAAAATATATCCTGCTGTGCTTTGGAGGATTGCCTGAAATAACTTGTGCCAAAATGTTTCCAAGGTGGATTATTTCTGTTTGGAATATGCCATTCGATTTCCCCTGCCACCTAGTTTTCTATCTACTTGCCTGACTGCAATACTCAAATTAGCATTCCGTAGCCATTAAGCATGTACAGTCCTCATTCCTATTGAATGCTGAATTGCAGATACTGCACTGAAAGGGAATGTTGGACTTAATGAAATGTATGCTTCTTCCAATTGCTGCTACAAACCAAATAATGATGACCCTCAGTTCCCAGGAGCAACAACAGCTTAAGGATTCTGAAGAACTCACCTCGATTTCTACATAATCATGGAGCTTCTTGCAGGTGGCGGAAAAGGTTTCTGTTGTGCCAAATTCAAAATACCACAGCTTATTCTTCATTCTGATTCAGAGAAGAAAGAGAGGTTGGGCATTACATGAGGCATGTACTTTATAGTCTGCATATACGGTGCCATTTCAAACAACATCTGTAGCTCTTCCATGTAGATTGCTACTAAATAATTGCCACCAGGGAAGGTCTTCTTTGGTATCCATCAATTAATTTGATGAAACCATACATATATACATATTGAAATCACTATATAGATATGTGTGAATGTAAGATAATCTGGGTGGAAAATCAGATCAACTCTAAACCAGACCAAAGCAGGCATTTTCAAAATATTCTCTAAGTACAATGGTTCCAAAGAAACTGGAAGAGCTTCTGCAGATGACCAGTATATGTGAAATTCTACATATCAGCACTTGCATAATAGAGCTGCAAATCCCAACTCAAACACAATAAACTGGCCCTAATTTCAAACCTAATAGATGGTGGGTGTGGGGAAGTGACACCCACTCAGATATCAGTGTGTACAGTGACATTTGTGATGGGGAATGCATTAACTTCCAGGAATAAGGTAAAATAAGGATGAGAGAATAATTAAATCTGTTTGCATGGAAAGGAATGGTTGTTCTTGGAGAGCCATATGGTGTTTGCTATCTGAAAAGAGTGGATAATCTTTCTCATTCTGTAGTAGTAGGCATGTCTTGCACATAGAAGAACTGATTTTTTTAATGAAAAGAATGAATTGAAAGGAAGAATACTATATGGACTCAGGAGCATAGCTGCCATAGGATGTAAAGGGATGTTTGCCTCAGAGCCACCAGCCAATGGAGGCCTCGTTACTGCCCACATCCCCAGCCTTGACCCTAGTGGACAAGATGCTAGTAACTGTTGTAGTGGTAGTGGGGACATTTGTCACTTTTGCTCCTAAGTTACTAAGCTATGATTCCAGGAACATCTTTCCTAATAGAGTTCCTACATCCCAGGGCTTATCCCCTTTTCTCTGTGACCCAGGACAAGAAAAGAGAGGAATCTCTGGGCAAGATCATTGAAAAGTGTATATGTACATATTTTCTCATTTCTTAGGTTTGCATTTTTTTGAAGTAGAATACTTTGAGCAACTGTTATTGATGATTAAAGCATTATTCTTAATGATGTCACAAAGGCAGTCATGTGTAACACCACCCTTGTAAAAGGATCCACTCCAATAACAGGTTTGAGCTTTGAAATCTCAAGATCTGGCTTACTACTGGCCTGGCAATCCTGCTCCCTATTCAACAGAGCTAAGAAAAATGTGGGCTCATAGATGTTGCCAGTCCCCAAATGTCCCAGTCAACATAATCAATGATAAAGAATGCTGAGAGTTGCAGTACAGCAACATCGGAAGGGTCATACTTTGCCTAAAGCCAGAAAAAATGGCTCACATGATACCATGCTCATTTTGACCTCAACCTAAAATATTATTGTTCATCCCTGCCTTTTAATCATTAAAGAGTTTATCTATGAAAAGACATGATTCACTAGAAAAAGACAATTATGCCTGGTAAGAGGGAAATCAGTAGGAAAAGGGGGAGAGTGCATTTTAGATGGATTGACGCAATCAAGGAAGTCACGGCCTTGAGTTTACTAGACGTGAGCAGGGCTGTTGATAGAGTGATTTGGAGGTCATTCATTCCTATGATCACCACAAGTTAAAGTTGACTCAATGACACAAGTTAACACAAGCAAATTGTTTTATTATTCTATTTACTTTGAAACAGAACTGATTTTGTCAAAATTCAAAACAGAATGAAGATCCTAGATTCTGGGAAAACTACAAAAGTCAGGTTATTAGGCATATATTGCTGGACACAAAAATATATAGCGCATGTAATGCTTTAAAAACAGAAGCATAACCTCAGGGAATGCCCATCTAGGCAGCACGCGCAAATTGGCAATAACTGTACAATTATCATGCTAAGCACTAATAATCAGGAAGGCCCAGAGGGAGATGTCTAATCTCTAGGAAATTGCTCAATGTTACTAATTCAAAGTTGTTTGGAACTCAGCGCTGTTTGGGTGAATTCTTGCTTTTGGCCAAACTACAAATAACATGAATATTTCCACGTGGCAAAATGTGTGCACCTGTACATGTGGATCTGCACAAAAGAACATAAATAATACTCTCAAATGTTCTCATCCTTGATGACAAAGGGTGTCTCAACACATTAAGATATTCCTTTGAAAAAATGGTTGACTTTATGATTTTTTTTGTATTCACGCCTCCCCTAAAGTTAGTATTTGCAACCAAAGACCTGTTTTTTTAAAGCAAAAAAAAAAAGTATTATCTAGAGCAAAAGATTTCAGCTCAAATATATATATATCTTTTGCCCCTCCCCAAGTCCTGAAGAGCAAATCATGGAAAGATGTGTAATCTCATCTAGCAGGGGAAAATGTTGAAATCATTCATTCTTGTATGTAAGAATGACATAAGCCAGGATTATAACTCTAAAATGTGGGGTGTATATGTTCCCAAATGTTAGGGCATGGAAACATTGGTTTATGAAGTCCTTCCTTAATCTTTTCTATAACTGACCCAACAATAATTTACTTAAACCAAGGGTAATTTCATACTACATAATTGTAACACTATGTTTCCGTAGTGGTAGTAGTAGTAATAATAATACTAAATTTATTTGTTATCTGCCTCTTCTTGTGGGGTACAACAAAGTTGAAATGGACAGATAAAACACAACATGATAAAATGAACATTAAAAATACAGTATATACAAGACCAATACTAACACTAATAAAATGCAGGTTAAACTCACAGTTTAACATTGACTGGGTTAGCCTGCTGGAAGGCATAGGTCTTCAGTTGTGTCTTGAATTCTGACAGGTTATTTAGTTGTTGAAGCTCTTCCAGCAGGTCATTCCACAGTCTTGGGGCGGCCAATGAAAAAAATGGCCAATGAAAAGGTGACGGTTATCAATTATGTTCTGGCTGGTTGGAGAGGCCACCCCCAGAGGACCTCAGTATCTGGAGTAGCTTTTACATGAGAAGGCAATCCTGTTACTAACCTAGACCCATATTTTGAGCTAATTGGAGTTTCTGAACTTGGTACAAAGTAGCACTGCATCCTTGAGCTTACTCCTGTGCATTACCTTCTTTAGAGCTTCTAATTCTAGGAAGGGGCACAGCTGGTGTATCAGTTGAAATGGGGTAAGAAGCACTCCTGATTGCTGCATCTTTCTGGGGTAACATTTGGAGAGACAGATCATGGTCAGGCTTCCTCGCTATAAATGTATTGATTTGCACCTCCATCATGAAGACTCCCAATATTCAGCACCACATAGAGGAAAGAGAAACATGCTCTAGCTACAGAATGGTAGGGAACATATTTCTTATGCTAAGAAAGGTACTTGCTGAATGTCAGGGGGTTATTTGAACCTGGAGAGAGGGACTCAAGTCACTAGCACAAAACTCAACAAAGATCGAAGAGCACAGTAACTCTGACTGCTTGCTGAATTATTGTTCTAATGCCCGGGGAAGAAAACAGGATGGTCTTGACCAGAACAGCTACCAAATTAACTATGAACATTGGCTGGATTGGGTTGGTGTGAGTTTTCCGGGCTGTATGGCCATGTTCCAGAAGCATTTTCTCCTGATGTTCACCCACATCTATGGCAGGCATCCTCAGAGGTTGTGAGGTCTTCCAACTCCCGTAATTCCTAACAGCCTAACAGACCTCACAGCCTCTGATGATGCCTGCCATAGACGTGGGTGAAATATCAGGCGAGAATGCTTCTGGAACATGGCCATACAGCCTGGAAAAGTCACAGCAACCCAGTGATTCCAGCCATGAAAGCCCTTGACAACACATCGGCTGGATTGTAGACTGTAATGAACTTGACTCAACTCAATATGATCCAGCAGGACAAAGCTATTGGTCTTGGAAGAAGTTGCTCACTACAGAAGATGGATTAACAGGGTTGCATTTGTGCCAAACATAGGAGAGCATTGCCTCATTTTCTTCAGCACTCTGCTTTTCAGGTAAGGATGGGGGATGCAAAATATTGTCAGGTTTATGTAACAGGAACCTATTTCAGATTAAGAAGGATCCTAGATCTCTGCTCCAACTCTACTATTATTTTATCAGTGGCAAAAGAGAAAGCTGTGCATCCTTCTTCCCAAATTACAGGATAAATTCGGTATGTATTGTGCTTTTATTTTAAAGTAGGAACACATACGCCTCCAATCCAATTGGAATGAGAGTGGGCTAAAACTTTCTCATCTATCTTTTATTTAAAACACCTTCCTCTGCATGCAGGTGCTAAAAATGGGAGAAAACTCGTTTAGTACTTTTAAAAAAATCAAATGCTGAAATGGCTGCAGATGCTTTGAACCTGCCTTCCTCAACCTGATGTCTGACAGATATAAATAAGGGTTTCTTTTCCAAAACCTCCTTTAAAATGAAAAATATCTCTGTATGAACCATTGGGTTTATTTCTGTTTAGTCTGTTTTATGCATTTACCTGAACCTACTACATGTTCTAACCAAGGAAAGAGAATGATGGCGATAATCTATTTGAAATATCTTCTGCATATGACTGTGTATATTAAAATGTCATGTAATCATGTGCACAGTAAAGTCTGAGTTGTGATTTGTTGTTATTTTACATTGATCTAAGGGGCCCCGGTGGTGCAGTCGGTTAAACTGCTGAGCTGCTGAATTGGGTGACCAAAAGGTTGGTGGTTCGAATCCAGGGAGTGGGGTGAGCTCCTGCTATTAGATCCAGCTTCTGCTAACCTAGCAGTTCAAAAACATGCAAATGTGAGTGGTCAATAGGTACCACTCTGGCGGGAAGGTAACAATGCTCCATGCAGTCATGCTGGCCTTGGAGGTGTCTACGGACATGTGAGTAGATCAATAGGTACTGCTTCTGTGGAAAGGTAATGGCGCTCCATGCAGTCATGCTGGCTACATGACCTTGGAGGTGTCTATGGACAACGCCGGCTCTTTGGCTTAGAAATGGAGATGAGCGCCATACCCCAGAGTTGGAAATGACTAGATTTA